CCCCTCCCCCCCCCCCCTCCCCCTTCCCTTTTTCATCCATGCCTTGCTCAGGAGCCATTCATCGATGGGAAAATTCGTTCCATCCACGGATTTCTTGGCCATTTTTTTATAACGAATATTTATCGAATATCATTCAATTTATTGAAATGTCGAATATTTGTGTTTTTCAGTAACAAGAAATACGCGTTCGATTTCTTAAATACTTCTGATAGCAGCGATACCCTCCCTTCGCCACTAAGTAGATTTTTAGTCGAATCATTCGATCGACCGCCTCACACGGAAGTCAGCGGGCCGGATATTTCCAGGAAGCAAAAATTATGCGAGCCTGTGAAGTCATAGCCTTCTTTGATACGAACATGGTAAGCCCCATTCAGGGCTGCGAACCATGTTCGACCGTTAAGTAATTAAATTTAAGTTTCAATGAGGTCGTATGGGAAGCGAGCTCTTGGGCGATCTGCATGCGAAATGCAGTTCCTCAGGGGGTTCAACGTAGTTTGTGGGGCTGAATGGGGCTCGCCAGGCTCGTAAATAGTGAGGCTAACGTAGAATGAACCTTTTGATCGGCACTCATGGCACAAAGATATGATCGCACCATGATTCGTTGTTCATCCGAGATTGTGGTAGCGTCTGCAGTCTATGAACCAGGCCTTCTCTTGGCCCAGTTTTATCCTGAGGGCTATTCCGTGACCCACATTATATCCTTGAGAAAATCCCAGAATGAGAGTATATTAATTCGTATTCGTATTATTGAAGAGTCGATACAGGGCATAAGAGAGTTCTACATCATCTGATATCTAATACTTTCATTGAATGAGGCCGAAAGCTGTGTTGGCTGTCATCCCTAACGCGCGAGGCCTACGATGCTATTCCATCCTAGGCAAAAGGCCAGGCCATCCACGGCCCAAAGTGTCAAGCCTACTGGCTCTGTCATTCTGAGCCATAGAAGAAAGTAGAGAGTGAAACTGGAGGCTTCCACTCCATTGGAATCCCATTCATTAACAGGGTCGGAATATGGATGTCGCTGTCGATCCTCCACATAACGTGCGCTCACCAACTCCTCCTCCATTGCCGAGCAGCGGACTCAACGAGACACATGTGTTACGTTGAGGTATCCCTTTGGGTCGGATCCCCGAACGAGTCGATTCCCGATTCCCCTGCCACGAAGCATGAAAGTGTTGATAAAAAGTCGCCAGATGTCTCTGTAATATTTCGATTCCCCTTTACTCCTCGTTGTGTCGCATCTCAAGCAGAAGAAAGTTGCATCGAAAAATCGGACATCGACATTTGATTAAACGGTATGATCACACCGATCCTTGGAGGCGATCTAATGACGAAGGAAATGCAAGGGAAGTGGGAAAAGGGCGAGATGCATAGGGAAAAGGGGGGAGCTCAACCACTTGATCAGATAAGAAATCTGTTGGACGTTCCCCGAGGGGAAAGAGGGGCTGGCATCTATGAAACCCTCGCCTCTGGTCAATTTTCAGAAAGGGTAGGATCTCCCCTAATCTTGAAGCCACTTCGTGCATATCAGCCATCTCTATCTCAAAGTGTTCCCCCTCACCATAAAGTTCCCCTTCCTTCTGTGGATTCGAGCGATTCCCGTTTTAAGAAGAATCCATGACTCTTTCAGCCCGTCTCTCTTCCGAGTTCCAGGTGGAAAGAAGAATTGGATGACTAAGGGAAACTTTTATTCCAAGAATCCCGTTTTTTTCCCCGTCTCTGGCGTTTCGCGTTGGTAAAACGTATTTAACCACAAGCGTTTCATTCGATCCATGGAAAACGGAACGCTACAAATGAAAACCCCGATTCCACCGAAGAAAACGATTTTCATTTCTTCACTTCCTCAAAGAGAACTCAAAAGAAGGAGCGGAAGAAATTGGTGAGAGTCGTGAAGATGCTCGCAACGTTGGACATCGTCATGGACCCCATGCTCCCCTTGCACACCAGTCCGAGGGTTGTGTTCTCCCTCGCATCGTTGGCAGATACTGTGGTCCACTTGGACGGGAGCATGAAGGCGCAGTTGGCGTCGCCGGAAGGGTTCTGGTTTCCGTCCCACCAGTCGTTGACCGCGTTGGACTGCTGGGTCCCGTCCTGCCACACGAAGGGTGAGTCCCGGTTCGCCCGTCTCAGCCCGATCCAGAAGTCCTTCGTCGTTCGCTGAACGGTTTGGCTCATAACCACCACTGAAAGGAATGAGAAGAATGAGCCTTACGGAAACGACATTATGGAAATACGGACTGTTTATCAATCATCAATCATGGAAAAGCCGTAAGTTGTCAAAGTGGTATTAGCAGGAGATACATTCAAATGCGTAGGTACATTCTGCGTCTTCAGGACAAGGTCTAGGTGGATTCAGTTCTGCAACTGGGTAAATATTCCCAGGGTACTTGCTTTCAGCTATACAGTAAATACAGTATTTTGCTTTTTTTTCGCGAAACGTTAATTTATTTTTCATCGTACAAAACCCCATTCATTTTAGAAACAGTTAAATATTAGCACCCCATTTCGTAGATTCAAATGAACGCCTTATGACGTGTATGAAATATTTTTGAGAAAGACACCTGACTACGGAAACGGTTCACAAGTTATTCTTAGTTCTTCCCCGTAAAATGGTCATCCGTAGCGATGATGCCCATCGTGCCACGACCGAAAGTTAAGGACGCCTGGATGAGAATTTTTTTCCTCATAATACTGGCAGACAGTCGAAGACAAGTAAAGAAAGAGAATCTGTCGAAGGAACGCGTTTGGCTTACACTTCATTGCGTTGGCGACAGCATCCCTTGTATCGGGTGAGTCCACCACTAGGAGCTTCCCCCCTCCTCCTAGCACTTGCGTCGTGCAGGCCGCCACGGCCTCGTCGTAGGTCACCTGACTCTCAGTGAATATCCGGAAGCACTTGGTGCTAGCTGCAGAGAGAAGCGGATCAATCACCTGGCACAAAGCCAGCGTCGCACCGGGGAGCAGGACCTCGCAGATGAAGCCCTTCTTTAGGCTGCAGTCCGCGTTCTGCCACTGGCGCGGGTACATGAAGGAGTAGTCTAAAGGGATAAAGGGGAATAAAAGATCTCGTTGGATGAGTTGTATCGTATACATGGGCTACGTGCCTAAGTAATGTTTGTAAATGCAGGTTCTGATCCCACGATAAGCATGGGTAAATCGATTTACCCGGATGGTACTTCGACTTCGAATACGTTCCTCTAAAAGTATCCCCGAGTTTATTTCATGAACACCGAATCAAGCAAAAGTGGCAATGAATAAACTCTATTTGAACTGATGATATCGCTTGGGAGTAAGCCTTCGTGCTTCCATCAGCCGCGGGACTTATTAATGCCAGTCACCATGCTACTAACATAGTAAGATTCTTTCCCCGAACGTGCAAAGGGCCCCTTAGAGGAGGCTTACTCATGAAGTCGGCTCTTTCTGTGCGAATGTGCTGACGAGAACGGAATCTTAGCCGAGGAACGACGGTCGACCTCTTTCTATCTTCGATTTCTCCTTTCTTATCCAGTCTTTTTTTTCCAGCGGAAGCTTACTATTACGTTATTGTTTGTCTCTCCTCCCCACGCATTAATTCTTGTTTTGTGACAGGATCTATATAGGGGAAATGATAAGATTCTGCCCTTAAGTTCCTGATCCGGCAAGCCAATTATTGCTTAGCGTACATAAGGTAGAAAAATCTAAACATGTCACAACGCCACCAGCTCTATCGGGAGACATATCAACGATGTCATACACACTATAAAGCATCGATGCCGCCCATAACCCAATGATGTAGCCGATACCGCTCTTATTCTAGACATTCACTGCACAGAAAAGTCTCACCGTCAAAATACTTGTCAGACACCTTCCCGTCGTAGTTGTCGTACCCACCCGACACCTGCCTCGTCTCGTCCGGCCTCACATTCGCAATCCACGTCCCCGAGTATTTCACGTTCTGCCCTACGAAGTGGTTCTCGTCATTGGACGTCGGCAGAACGAAGAGGGAGCTCCGGGACGTCCGGCACACCCCGGCCGCTTTGGGGAACGTGGTCGGGTCCGCGCTGAAGTAGTAGCAGCTTCCGCTGTATTTGATCCAGCCGTTCGGGCAACCGCTATGCGCCGTACCGGCCAGCAAAGACAGCAGGAACAAGTAACCAAGCATTTCGGGGGAGCCTGTCGGGTGGGAAACGATAAACAGAGAATTTCACCAATATCAATTCTGTGAGAGAAGAAGGGGCCCTGCCAGTTTTTTTTTTTTTCCTCTAAGGAGCAAGTACTTATATCGGGTTTGTGTTTACGTCCTAGTACTTCGACTCCGCACTTAGGTTCCTGTTATGGGCGCAACCCGAATCGATTCGCAGGCCTGACTTCACCCCCGCCTCGAACCATCCTGGGTGAGTCTGGCAGAAGTTACGACGAGAAACTCTTTGCCCAATAAATCTCGTCTAACCAAAAAATACAGGCCCGGACGATGGTTACGTACGAAATGGGCACGTAAGGAGTATGTATTTTTAATTCATCAAAGTCGTCATAGCCTCCTTTACGTTAAAAATAATTGAAGCCTACAAATTATTGTTCCTTCCATTATCTTAATCACGCGATGTTAACAGACCCATGGGCAGCGAACGCAACTTTAGCGATTCTCAACTAGGCACTACGGGGTCTGTTTTTGCAGCACGCAATTGTGCCCAGCAGGAAAGGAATTCCTCACTCCACAAGAAATAGAACCGACGCCGAAGACTCACCGGGACCAAGTGACTTCTACTCCTCTTTCCCTCTTCTTTCTCTATAAGTACTTGCTCCTTAGAGAAAAAAAAAAAAAAACTGGCAGGGCCCCTTCGCGTGAATTCCGGGAGCAGCAGGGAACCAGGATGTGATTAAGATTCAGCACGCGACGTATCGCTTCCCGGATTCGTTCACGTGAAGTGCTTTTTCACATCTTGTCATGGGGGTGTCACAGCGCTCGAGCGGAAAATACCTTGTCAGGGGGGGGAAAGGTGGGAAGAGGGCGAGAAGCAAACGACGGAGAGGAGACAAAGGGAAAGGAAGGGGGGGAGGTAGAGAAAAGGGCGAAAGGAGAGACAGGGAATGATGAGAGAAAAAAAGAGATCAAGATCATGGGTGGTTTGGAGAGAGCTCATCCCAAGCTTAGTCTTACGGAAAGAGGTGGATGCATGGCGCGATAGGGAACGCACTGGCAAAGCCAGCGAGCCTCGCACCCGCTACTTAAAAAAATTGTGAGCTTCTTTGCGTGAACGTGAACGACTCTCACTTGACACCAGCCCCATACCCGGTCTGTGTCTATGGGAAATTTCGTCAAGCAAATGAATTTCTTTCTGGATAATTTTCACAGCAAAATATTTAATATATATATATATTTATTTATATTTATATTTATTTATTTATTTATTTATAATTTATAAATATATTAATATTTAATTTAAATTAATATTTTAAAAAAATCTTGAACCTGTGAAAAAAAGACATTCGGTTTCCTTGAAAGTCCGGGATAGGGAGGAGGAATTCGAACACCTTGACCTAGGCCTTGCAGGAAAGGAAACGTCGCCGGCGATTTGCTCTCGTCACACAGGGCTTGGTTGTGGCGGGGTATGAGTCTCTTCTTAAAGTGGAAGTTTTGGAAACTTTTTTTTTGCACTTCTACCAAGTACCACAAGTATCACAGCATATCATAACTAGTTTTAGACTAAGTATTGGGAAACCGTAGTCACGCATACCCGTATGAGATTTTAAGTTTTGTCAAATGATATCAGTTCTACCTTACCTGAATAACGTAGTCGTAAGTTTCAACGCGTCCATAATCAAGGTCAAATCAGAAAAACCTTTTCTTAGAGTGGGCTTTTTTGCATAAGCATTAATTATTGATAAGGATAATTACTTGGTTTGTGACCATAAATATTTTTTTTGTTTTCGAAAAAAAAATATATTCAGGCTATCGTTTAAGAGTAGATAAGTGGAAGAATCCACCGCACATTAATTTATATGAATATGGAACATATGTAATATTTATTCATTAGAGAGCGCTCTTGAAATTTAATGACAACGCCTCTTCCTCCGGTCGAGGAACGACAGAAAAACTCTGAAGCATATGAAGAGAATGATTGGAACGCTTCCGAAGAGAGGTTTGATTTGGGATTTTAAGGAGGACTTCGAACGGACTTGAAAAATGCCAGAGAAGGGATTCGGATCCGAACAGTTTTATTGAGAGTTCGCGAGGAGACGTTGGCTATCAAAGAGACGGCGCGTGGGGAGGCCTGTGCTCATAGAGCGTCTATAGAACAGCTATGCACACTCCATGCAGGCGGTGCTACCTCTGTGGGCGTTGATTTCGCTGCATCAGTTGTTGAGCAGTGTCATTAGCAGGGCCGGATTAATCCATAGGGTAATAAGGCTATATCCTTAGGCCCTCCATTCCTTTTCTTTGCAATATGTAATTCATTCTTAAGCCCTTCCCTCCCTTAGGCCCCTCATAACCTTAATCCGGCCCTGATTAGGGACAGTAGGGAGGTCGTTGATTGTTCGACAGGCTGAAATAAATGGCACTCCCGTCAAGGGCTCGTACCGCCTAGTTCTCTCTGAGAGCAGATAGACTATAAACGAGGACCAGGGCTTGAGACAGGGAAGCCACAAGAAAGGCTGGAGGAGGCAGATCAAGGGAGAGAAGACCTGGGGCCAGGGACCCGTTCAAGGTTTTCTCCTTTGGAGAGAGGAAAGCGGGAAGGAATATTTATTTCATTCCAGGAAAGAAATTTGGTACGGATATAAAAGATGACGGGCCTGTGCCTCGCCACTGTCAAACTTAATCTAAATCTAAACATGAACTGAAAACCTTTTAAAACGCAGCCAAAGGAGTTCCTTAACTCAGTGCTGAGCAGGGGCGGATCCAGGGGGGGCGACCCCCCCCCTATCACCATTCTATCTTTTTTTTAAACGTAGCTCCTACATTAATTTTTGTTGGGGCCAGTGAAATAGGTATTCAAGATTTTTCCCCAGACGAGAAATGAGAAAGGCTATGGAGCTGGGAGTGATGGAAGGCCGGGAGGGGGGCGAGGGCGGCAGGAAAAAGGGATCCGCCCCCCCCCCTATGAAAAATTTCTATATCCGCCTCTGATGCTGAGTGACCACTTTTAGATTAGATTAAGTTCAGGTATCAAAGTATTGCGAAGGGGCAGTGGCGTAGCCAGGGTTCCGCCAATGGGGGGGCTAATCGGAACGGTGGTGGGCTTACTGTACTCTCCTCGCCCGGTGGGGGGAGGGGGGGCTGGCGGATGCATTTAAACCAGAGTTGGGGGGGCTGAGGCCCCCCCCTTGCTACGCCACTGGGAAGGGGCCGGTGGGGACGAAACCGAAATTATTTATCAGAACAGAATTAAATTTGTATGAAATGATCTCGGACTCCCATATGGTATCGAACAATCAGAATTCTCTCCTATCATCCCAACATTTAGACCGGGTCAGACTTGTCTAAAAATGTATCTCCTTTTAAACGAAGTTTTAGCAAGAGTCTGGGCGAAGAAGAGGCTTTTTGTTTGTAGACTTAGATTTAGATTAAGTTTAGCAGAGGCGAGGAACAGACCCCAGGCCACCGTGCTAAAGAATCGTTCACCATCAGCACCTTGAATAAGCATTCGATGTCGGTGTAGTACACACGACCGTGAGGCATTTTGTCGAGTCACTGCGTCCCCTACAACCTATCTATCTGAGATTAACTCAGTTTGACTTATCCCGATCACCACGGTATCGATCGATCCAGACCGTATCCGGGTCAGATTGAGAAGGAGCGTACCTTGAGTCAGGCGCCATGCGACCGTCTTTTGCAATCGATCGTGTACAGATTGAGTTCAAGTTTTGCGGCCCAGTGAAGAACAGCGGCGTTTGGAAGACTCATTGCACGGAGCACGGAGTTGAATTCACTGAACACCAAATAAATGACTAAATGGAGAGTCATGACCGTGCCGCCATCTTGTGATCCCTCTCCTCTTTCGAGTCCACTCCAGGTCGACCAAAACATCTGCGTGGCCTACACTTCAAAATTGCTGAGGGTTTTTTTTTTATAATAAAAGGAGCTAAGTGAATGGTGGGCCCCGCTGTCAGTGGTGGACCGCCACATGACTCCCGCCCACCATGGTGAGATCCTCCCAACACCAGGGCTGGCAGAGTGCAATCAGTGGTGGACCGCCACATGACTCCCGCCCACCATGGTGAGATCCCCCCAACACCAGGGCTGGCAGAGTGCAAAACCCTGGAGAAGCTGTTGTGAACGCTATGGGAAGGTGACCCATGACTCAGGCGTGAGGACGAATGTGCTTAACGCACGCTCGCCATCACGCCTGGATCTCTCCCGTTTTTAGTTTTAGCTGTTACTTCAATAACTGCTGCTCTCGGGGCACTAGGCCGGAACGCCACAGGCGCCATCGAGACAAGCCAACCCATACTAATTGTTGAGGAGAGATGGGGGAGATGTCTCTATGAGAGGCTGGAATAAAGATGGCGACGCTCTCGTCACATGGTCTGCCCGACTCCGAGGAAGAACCGATCGAGAAAGTGAACGACGTCGGGCGTTCCTCGGCCTCCTCGAAGAGCGAATCGAGTTCCCCCGAGAAAGGGCCCAAAGAACGAGAAGAGCGATGGCCTCTTCCGTTCGTGGTTTCCAGTTTGACTCGGGAGGGACGGAGAACGTCGTCGACCTCGTCTAACTCCTCTGCCTCCCGTGTCAGGACGAAATCGTGGAAAGGTGGCCCATTAATCTATTCAAACCCTACTTGCTGTGTCGAGGCTTTCTAGATTAAGCTATCCTGGGCCGTAGCTGTTCAATTATTGGTTTTACCTTGAGATAGTTGTGAATTGAGGTGGTCTTTCCCTAATCGTATAAATCTCTCTTCTGTAAATATTTCCTTGATGGATTTTGATTTCTTAATTCATCTCCTGCGATTATTTTTGGATTACAGTATTGAATTTCTTCGCCTTTTTTTCAACTTTAATAATTAGGGCATGTTTCAAGAGGGGCAAACCATCTTACCATTAAGCCACTTATTGTCACTATAGCCACATGTCTCGAGATGGGAGTCCCAAATGCTTAGGGGTCTCACTTCTCAAGCAAACCAGGACTGGCACCAGGAAACAAATCCCTGACTTTGGTTGGGTTCAATGCCCGGGGTCATTCCCACAGAAGCCAAGCTCATTACTGGTCAAGTCACTAACCAGCTCGCAACTCTGAAGTCTTTCTCTAGCTAAGTCTCAACATTATTTCCTTTTATTGATGAAGAGGGCACATTGGTGAGACCTTTGGCCTAACAGAAGAAAGCAATACTGGTGATCGTCAAACTCCATTTGACACCTTTGCATCAGCTAAGATCATCACAGTTTAGACTGGCAGTGCCTTTTGAATTTGACTTTGTGACTGCCTCAATAATCTTTGGCCTAGTTACACACTCTCCATCCTTCACTGCCCCCAGAACATCCCTCCCATCATCTTTCAATGCTGCTCTCTGTCTTGCACCCCCAGAGCCAAAACACAATCAGAATCTGCTTTTAGGCACCAGAGATGGGAATATGGTAAATTATTAACTAAACTGGAACATATGATATATCTGACAATTTATGGAGATTTTGTGGGGTAGGCCCTTCAGGTTTGAAGCCATTCCAAATATATATGTTCCAATGAAAACTAAACTTCTTGTGTACTCTTGTACATATTATACTCTTATGATGAGCAGAGATAGAAGCCTTTAAGTGTCTATTCCTTCTCATCATAATCCCACATTTCATGCTTGAAATCAGGATTTATACATAGAGGTCATTCAAAGAGGTGCAGGAGAAGAATGATGGGACACAAGAACAAGGAAGATGTGACTAATGCCAGTTCATGAATGACTTATACAGTATTCTTTTGCATCCCCTCTTTGACCCATGACTACAGAATGGGGTGAAGGCATGAAAGGAATGTGATATGGCTAGGTTTGCATGATGGGGTGAAAGTGAACTCAACAAGTATAGTTGCTTGTAAGTCGTGCATCTGGTTAAAAGATGCTCACTTCTATGTCTGGGAGATACTCTATTGTGATTGGTCTCTGTTGGTTATGGTCTTGGTGTGTGGGTGATGGTGTGTGGGTTGGTTCCTGCCTGATCATGCTTATAAATTAGTGACTATAATTGTAACTATTTTCTTTTACTCTTGGTGTGTTCTTTTCATTCTTTTCCTTTGATAGGCTACCCCTTGCTTGGCCAAAGTCAGTGGACAACATTATTCCAGAGGTTAAATTAGATATTTTAGATGGAGATAGTCCTAAATAGTTTTCTCATATGGTTTATAAGCCATCTTACATCTTTATGGGCCCAGGTACTAACTCTTCATGATTTTTTGTGTTTTTCTAATTATCTGCTTATGGTATCAAACAGAGTTGGACATGGTGGGAGTTGAGAAGAGGAATCTTGTCGCTCTCCTGCGACTTGTCGTAAGAGATGTTATCGAGTCCTCCATGAAACTTGGCCGAATGCTTGACTCTGACCACATACCCCTCCAGGTAAATTTCCACAGGACAATATCAGAGTGTTCACTGGTTCTCTCCTGTATATTGCACATTTTCATTTAAACTCCATGTGATTTCATTGGACTTTGCACTTATTGCAAATATCTGACACTGTCATTGTACATGCCAGATTCAGGTGGGGATATGTTCAAATCAGTTAAATTCATGAACTCCTGTATTATTTGGATATAATCATATTAAAATGTCAGAGTGAAAATGAAATTTCCCATTAATTAAAGTTTTTATTATTTTATCCATGAGAGGACTGTTGATAAAGGTTGAAAAAAACAGTTGCACAAGGTGCTTCTGACATATGCAGTGATTTGCATGACAATGCAATTCAAGCCTCTAAACCTTCAGTGTCTAACCAAGGACTCATTTTATCATTTCTTGCCCATGGAATATGTATGATATACCTTGAAAATGTTAGCTAACCCAGATTCTGCAAAATTCTTGCTCAGAATATCAACTAAGATCCGATGAAACCATTGAAGTTGCCATACCTTCAAATGCTGTTTGTCCAAACAACTCCAGTTCACAATTCCCTATCATCTACAGCATTTCCTGATTGTGATGGAACACAGCCTGAAACATGGACTGAAGAACAGAAGGGGGCTGCTTGGTGGGAGAAAGGAATTGTGGGATGTTCTGCAGCTGCTGGATGGTAGGACCCTCATGGCCACTGAGACCATCTCCAGTGTCAGACAGTGCCCCACTGTCAGGTCACTCTCTATTCCGCTTCCATTTTCTGACTGTACTTATATGTAAAACATGTATATGTGTACCTTTGTTTGAGGATCATGTAACAAGGTTAACTATTGAGGCAGTCTTGTTAGTTAAAACCTATTCTATATATATATAGAAGAATGCTTTAGTTTACAAGTTCAATTTATGTATAATTAATATGAACAAATCGACTATAAATTTCATCTGTATCTTTTGATGTTGGAATGAAGACATAACTATTGCCATTTGAATAAATGAGTTTGCTGGTCAGATTTCATCATTTTATTCTCTCATTATTATCAACATCATATTAATACATAGTAACCTATGTATTAACTTTTTCCTAAGTATCATTTCTCCATATAAAGTATTGTCCCATTTAGAGCAATATGTTGCATGATGGCCATGCAGGACAAATGCAGGTCGGTCGAGGGTGTGGTTGCGCCTGTCCCTGATGCAAAAGAGACTTGCAGAGTATGTCCAGATGCTTATGGACATGAGAGACAAGCTGCAATCTGAGTACTATGAACCTTGTGCTCTGATGATGACTGACGATGCCATCGCTGTCCAGGGGCTCCTCCTTGGACTCAATGTCATCGATTCAAATCTCTGTGTCAAGGTACCATTCCCCTCTTGCAGTGTATGCATGCTTCTAATGATGAATTTCATGTCTTTTGGATTAAAAATAATTTGTAAATAAGAACCCCATTGCTGATACATTGTGAAATTTCTTAACTCCAATATTTTTCTTTTTTTTATTGTGCTGGTTTAATTGATGATTTTGCTGGAATAACTTACAGAGCTTCTGCCATGCCTTCTCACTTGAGTTGAGGAACCACTCTCAATACATTATTTATGCTGGATTGCTAATTAGAGGGTTGCAAAAAATCACAATTTTCATTAATAAATACAGATGCTCACTTTGTAAAAATTATGCATATGGTAGGATTTTTATCCAACTAATGGAATATTCTGAAGGAACTGCTCCATCCAAAATGATTCAATGATTTAGTCTTTTCATAAGATGGTACTCCACCTGAAGGAGAGACAACTGAAGTCACTCCTTCAGGCCACATTTGGGGATGCTGTGCTCTGGCACAGCCTCCCCAGCTATGCAGCTCAATTGGCTGCATCTTCACAAGCTTCAGCCCCGTATTTTCTCTATTCCTGAATCCTGTGATTTTTTTTCTTTGTGGGTTACTCAAGAATGAAGTCTCCAGGCACATTCCAAATGGTCTTCAGAACATGTTCCATGCTGTTATGCAGGCTGATGGTGGATTATTTGAGCAGACCCTTCAGAATCAATCATGAGCGTCTGATATCCCATCATTCCCATATTTGCATCAGTGCATGTTGGTGTGTGTTCTATAGAAACTAGAGCATGGCTATGAGCTGCTCTCTCCAATCAGAAAATTGTAATTATTGTATGGAAATAATGTATCTGTGAATTTGAAAAATTCTGTTTCACTCAAAGCAATGGTAGTACATTATTTTTTTGCAGATCTTTCCTAAAAGTGAGTGCAATCATGTACATTTGAAAACCTATGGTAAAGGTTGACATTTGTGCCCTGTAACTGACTCTTGACTAAATAGCTGGAGGGGAGAAGCTATACTGCAATCTCAAGTCCACAAAGGGAAGACTCATAATTGCATAGGTAGTACAGGAGCCATCATGGGATCATGGCTCCTATCATATTGTGTTGAATGATGCATTTCATGATGGTATTGAGCACTCAACTGTGTCAAACATAGTGTGCCAAGGAGGAGACTTCATAGAAGTCCTTATTCCAATCGAAAAGTAAAAACTCTTTCCCTTTAAGCATTTTTGGATCATGAGTATTTTGTGGATATCCAGGTTGAGGCTGTTTTTTCTTTTTTCATGAACCTGTTGCTCTTGTCAATGTTTGGTATAAATCTAATTGAACATGGACTCAAGCATGCCCAAAAGATTTGCTAAGCAAAGCTTTGGTCTTCAAACTTGAAACAAGGAGAGCTTACAATGTCATATGACAACTAGAGTTAGGCAGTAGTCAAATTTCAACCCTTACTATGTAGTAACAATTATAATGGTAACTCTGCTGCTTGGGAAAAGTAGTATGAGTGGAGTTGAGGATCTTTCTATGTTTTGCTAACAGCTTGTGAAATAGTTAATACCTCACATTTTAGTTATTGTGAAATTAATGAGCCCAGTATGCATAACTGACAACATAATAAACTCTTCCAAAGCATTGGGAGATTTTTTACCAGATTGATAAGATGCTTGACGTATGAATGGGTGAACTGTACTTGTTAAAGGAAGAGGAGCTGGATGTGGAGTGTGGGGTCATGGACCTGACAGGGTATCTGAAGAGTCAGCATGAGAGTGTGTTCAACGATGTTCCCCCGGATTCTCCCGACATGGACGTCGTCCTAGACCAGAAGAACTACATTGAGGAGCTCAACCGACATCTCAAGTCAGTTGTGAAAGTTCCTTCGCTCACCTATAATAATAAGTGAAAATTTGAACCTCTTAGGAAAATTGAAATTTTTAGTCATTGTGTTACCCCAAGCACAACTGAAATCTGTCAGTCTCTACATGCATGTGAAATTCTATTATGGTGCCAATGCTTATTTGTAGGGTACCTGACTGTAAATGTGTTGTTATTGTTCATTTAGAGCCTCTTTTACACACTTAGTGAAATGAAGAATGTCATATTAACCATGTAAGGGTGACCGTCCTTATAAATGCTCCTGATTACTTGCATTCATTGCATGGGCTCTACAGTCTTATGCACTTTTTTGCATCTGGTCCTGTAGTTCCAGGGTGACAATTCTCCAGAAGAAGGTGGAGACATTGACAGAAGCCAATGCACAGCTCAAGGAGGAGCTGGCCAGGACAAGGGCAACCAGCTTCAACTTTCAGGATGAAGTTGAGGGACCGAAGCAGTCACAACTCCGACTGATGCCTGATGTGCAGCTGGAGAGTCCCCAGGTCAGATCACAATTTCAAAGAGATAAAAGAAAACTTTTTTTTTTTCATTGTTTTACCTATTGAAAATTAATACTCTATTCCTTCTATGCACAATTAATATATTTCAGGACAAGAGTTACAGGAATGACACCATGTTTATTGATGGAACATTCAGAGTTACGTTAACGTTTCAGGGTTGACTACTTTGATTATCAAGTCAGTTTTGGACAAGCCCATTCAATACCATTGTGTGACTACTGAGAATCCACCCCAGATCAGTCATTCTTTGAGCAGGTTCCTAGACCACTTGGTTGCTGAGGTTCCTATTCACAGTATAGCTCTGAACTAGGCCTTGGCCTGTACTGTCCATGTCATAGTCACATAGTGTCCACCATATTGTTTCTTTTTCTATGTATTCTTTTTGGCCCTGGAAATTCAGCTTGGTTATTTTTACTTTGAAGTTGCTGACCCCGTTCTCTTGCAAGTTTTAAAAGGATCACATGGGCTCTGCTGGTAACAAAGTTTAGGATGGGATGCATAAGCTGTTTATGAAATCAATGTTGGCTGTAGGGCAGCAGTACCCAACCTTTTCCTGTGTGATCCCATTCAGACAGCTGCAATTCTTGGGACATCATCATCCACCTGTTGAAAATATGGCATGACAAATGTATTTAAATCACCATACCTATAGGGTGATAATAGAAATCTTCCTGCCAGGCGGCTTTGCGACCCAACTTTTTTATTGTCTTGGTTCCAAATGTGGTCACAACCCCAAGCCAGGGATCTGTTGCCATAGAGTGTGAAGTATCTACTAACCTCTGAGTTTAGAAGGAACTGGAGATAGTTGCTTCTTTGTCACGAGTTCATTGGCGGCCCTAAAACTCAGTGGCTCTCTCAACGCTATTGGCAGCAGTTACTCTATCCCTTTATAGATCGGAACCCTGTTCTCGCATTGATCGACACTTCTTCCTAGTGATCACATCCTTCTTCCTGCATCGTCCGTAAGGTCCATCACCATCACTTTTCATGCAAACCTGAGTGAAAAATACAAATGTGGAAACGGGATGGTAACGACGCGACCGGCGGCATCCTGGTGATTCAAGGATTAGCCCCCATGTTCTATCCCATCTAAATGGGTTCCTGCCGCTTTCAGCCTCGCGAGTTATTCTCCTTCGAGCGTAGGAAAACGGGACTCCAAGTGTTGTACGTGAGTTTTCCCGTGTGCAAGTTCGTATCGTGGGGTGAACATTCCTTTCTTGGGGGGGGGCAAGGCGTACAATGACTCTCTCTCCCACTCTCAAGCCGCTCTATCCCGTTCTCGAGAATGACCTGTTAAAGACTTCCACGAACTTCGGCTCGGTCTAGGCGAAGGGTGTCTAATTGCCGGCCAGCTAGTCGATTTCGTCCGGACTGCCAAGTCCTCTTCAACAGTTGACTTTGGAGAAGCGTCGACTTTTTCGATCTGTTGCAATGGAAACTTTAGTGTAAGATTTGCTAATGTGGACCCAACCACTCCATAGTTCCATCCGTTCCTCACCTTAATCAAGTTAGACATCTCTGGCCTTGGCTAACCGTGTAACAATTGTCGGGAATCCACGAGTTCAGTTAGTGACCCTTTGAACAATACGCTGCAGCCGCTCCCCCCCCCGTTCTCGAGGACGAATCCGACAGTCGCGAAGGCTCGAAACGAGTTCGAGAAGGTGACCGAGACCCCAACCCGTGGAAGACATCCACGAAATCTGGGTCAGCTGAGGCTAAGCGTGTAGCATTTTCGGGTATTCACGAATCCAGTCAGCGGCCCTATTAACGCTTTACGTAGCAGCCGCTCGAACATTGTACGCCTCGTGCATTCCCCCCCACCCACACTGGGGTGTTCACGCCTACGATACGGACTTTTATCGAGCAGCACTATTATCCCATATCGATCGCGACCCTGTGCGTATCGACCGTGAAGTTAGTCTCTACCACCTTTCATGCCTATGAGTGAAAAATACGCTTGAGAAATGGGATTGTTACTACTCGGCCGGCGGCGTCTTTCCGATCCAAGGGTTAGCGCTCCTGTTCGATCCCATCCAGATGGAATCCCGCCGCTTTCATCCTCGGCAGTCACTCTCCTTGTGAGAGTGCCGATCGATACGAAGACGGGATTCCGATCGATAAAGGGGCAGAGATCTTATCCCGGCAAGGAAGTCATCCTCACTGCAGCGGAATGAAAGGGGAAGTGTTATAAGCGGGGACGTCCGCTTGGAAGTGTGAGAGGGGAGATGCACAAGACGTATAATTCCTCTCTCTCTTTCTCGAGAATGGATCCGACAGCCAGACATCCGCAATGGCCAGAGGGAAAGTGCGAGCTTGAGAGAGCGAGACTGACACCCGGAGCCAGGCAGAAGGCGCCGCGCATGGCACTGCGGACATAAAGACGCCCAAGCATAATTGTATATTGTTACGGAGGGGAACTTCGGACGGCATGAGAGGACGAAAGAAACCAAGGAACGGCCGGGAATTGAACCCGGGCTTCCTGATTGCCGGTCAGGCAATCCATTACCATTACACCACCGAACCCCGGACATTCAGTCGAGCCTCTCGATGCCATCCTTATCCGTCACAATATAAATGTGGTGGGCAAAAAAAAAAAAAATCCGGACAGTTTTCAACAATACATTATACTGCTCTCACTGCATATATTTTAATGCAGTTTGCGACATTTGAAAGAGGAATGAATAAGCTTTACAAAGGTGTACTTACGCTTCAAATATCAGTAACAGTTTCATCAATTCGGAAGCTCATAGCAAAAATTACGTTGCCACAGGACAGGGATGGACACGCGGCGGCCTTCATGACTGAAAGTCGCATGCCGTCAGAGCGCGGCAACTCAGTTTTTGTTTGTTGTTCATATGAGCTCCTGAATTTCTGAAACTGGTGAAGAGATTTGAAAGGTAAATACGTCATTTTACAGCTTATTCCTTCCTCTTTCAACTGCCGCAAACCCCATTAAAATATGCGCAGTGCCTGAAGTGTAGTGTATTGTTGCACACTGTCTGGATTGTTTTTTTGGCCCACCCTGTATGTATTGATGGCCCTCTTGGACTGGCTGCCTTGTGCTATGGATGAGAAGTTATTTACAGTTTGTACATGTCCCCATTGAGACTCAAATTACTCATACGGTTTTTTTATTTCTGATGTATCAAATCAAGTGCATCACCACAAGAGCTTGGTATTCTTTTTTTTCTTCGCTTGGTTTTCAGTTCACATTTTTATATGCATAGCTAAAACTGAGCTGTTGCCACTTCGTTTCAAGTTGCCTTTGTGAACAAAGAAAAGCTATTTTTCAACCACTTTTCTTCCAAACCTACCTTACATCAATGTCTGCTCCTTTGTTGGGAGTCCCTTTAATTTTTTGGAAAAATGAAACTGGCAAGCTTACTGATTTTTGCTTAATTGGATTTCAGATTTTCAGTCGGTCTTTAAATATCCTTGTGTGTGTTGCATATAGAGCATATTCCTTTAATTCATTTATCATTCCTTAATCCCATCTTCCTTAGTGTGGCTAAGGTCGGCTTTCAACTCATTATTTCTATCAGTCATCCACAGTTACATTTCTTGTTTCCCTACTTGCATTGACTTTACCTTGACATACCTCTTGAGTGGATTTAAAGTCTGAGACTTGATTTTCCTGTAAATTTTGACCAGGCCACTGAGAAGTGCATTCAGGACCAGACTCCGAGTGCAGGAGAGGAACTGACGAAGATGAGGGAGATGTTGGAGGAGGCCAGGCGGGAGAAGGAGACCGTCTCGAAGGAACTCGAGATCCAGGTCCTCATCGTTTTGGTCACATTATTTGGTCTCACAGTTGTACATGTAATAGAATGCATGGAAAAGTAATTCTAGTGCTCGTTGTTGGGTCACTCGACTCATAGATTCAATTCTTCTTCCTTTGACTTAGATGAGGATGAAGACTGAGATGGGGACAGCCATGAGGCTGCTAGAGAAGGACATCCACGAGAAGCAGGACACCGTCGTTTCCCTCCGTCGTCAGCTGGACGACATCAAGAACATCAATCTGGAGATGTATCGCAAGCTCCAGGTCTGTTTTGTCATAATGCAGTACTTCATCAAAATGGTTCAATCCTTTTCTACTACAAGAGAGGAACATGTAACAGGATTTACACTCACAGACACTTACAGACTCATCCTCACTTTCAGCTGCCACATGCAACTTGATACGTTATTATTCAGCCTAACTTTCTCATCTTTATCCAACTGGAAAAGTAAATTTTCCATCAAGCAAACATTTGCCAAATCAAGCCCGTGGCTTGTCTTCTGAGCACATTGAGCATGCATGAGTAACTTAATGGCATTTTCAGACTGGCAACTTTAGCAAGCATTTTTACTTGACCTGACAGACTGCAATGCATGAAAAAATACATTGCCATAACAAAGGAAACAGATGGAGTTTTCCTTGTTGTAATTGCATGGTTTATTCACTCCATTAATTGAATTTGAAAGTAACTCAGGTTAATCTCTTTTTATTTATTTCATGTAAAAAAAAAAGAGGGGAAGTGGGGTTGACTAAGTGCTTGGGCTTCAATGTGCTTTGAAAATACTTTCTCTTGACTTGTGTGCAACTCAGACCACTTTCATTGTTGATGGTGTTCCCTGCATTGTCATCATTCATGCATTACAGTTGAATCTGCATAATAGAATACTACAGGGACCTGTGAACTTATTCTCTCATTTGAAGTATTCAATTCCCTGAAACTCATGTACTTCTTTCTCAGTTTTTCTTCAGGAATCGTTCTTTTTTTTTTTTACAAATATGGTGAGACAAATGCTGAGACCGTCATAATTTCTGTCCTATGCATTACATTATTGAAATTAACAATAAATTCAATCTACCCCTTTTCCATATCGCACCAATGTTCAGAGTGAAAGCATAAAGGGACTGTGCATGTATTTTCCTCTTGAATGGTATAGATCCCAAAACCATCAGTATCAAAATGCAGGCAAGGGGATGGATTTTAAGTTTGGGGGGGGGGGGGGTTGAGCTTAGTCTCACCTACCCCTTTTACAGCACCTGTTTTTGCACATTGGTAATTTATGAAAAAATAAACATCTTGTTTATTAACAGCTAAAAATAAATAATTTCAACTTCCAGAAAAGTTTATTCTTGTAAAGCAAGTTATTCTAATGACTGTATTCCTTCATGTGATGCTATTAATGATGCTTCTTAAGGTTTAAAAATCTGATCATGCAATTATGCTTATCAAGTACTGTATTTCATTTAGTAGCATTCTGATATGTGGAGCCGACCGTACTTCCACAGGAATGCGAGACGTCGATGCGGAGCAAGAGCGAGATCCTGGGGAAGCTGGATGCTGCTAATGCCTCCCTTGCCCTCCAGCTCCAGTCACACGAGGCCCTGTCAGTCTGCAAGGATCTTCCTGTCTCTCTCACCTGTTCATGTCGTTGAGCTGCCCTTTTTGCCGTCCTGTATGGCTTTGTGAATGTCTAGAAATGTGATAATGTAATCGAGCATGGATTTTAAGGTCTATAAAGCTTAAAGGTGCTGGTGGAAGTAGTCACTGAAGCCTGGCGGTACAGTCCTGCAGGGAGAGACAGTTATCCTCAGATTCCATTGGTGAATGAGTGGAAATTAGACCTTGAACTTGTAAATGTAGTGCAAGTTCTCTCCCTCTCCTGGCATGTATTGCTAAGCATTGAATATTTATTAGAACTGAAGCATGAGGCTCACAGAGTCTATATGAGCTCGCATACAATGTGCATGCATTCATATGATAAATTGTCTCTCCGTTTAACTGGGCTATGCAAAAGATTGGGCTTGTACAGTGCACCTCATTTCCGATGAGCCCTCTCCCCATTTTGTTTATAAAATAAGGAAATCGCTCGTTGCTGAGCTATATTCTCATATTTTATATATTTATTTATTTCTCGGTCTTTAGGATTTCGGAATTGGAGGAGAAGCGAGTAGCAGGGGAGGAGGAATGCCGGAAGTTGGGTCTCCGCCTGGCAGAACGAGAACGACAATGCGCCACGCTGGAAACGGATCTGAAAGTGGAACGAGAGTGGAGACAGGCGCTGCAGGAGTCTTCCGTGAAGGACCGGGACAGGGCGGCCGACCTCCTCCGTCTGAACCAGGAGCTGCAGGTGAAGCTGCGGCAAGCGGACGACGTCGCGAAGACGCGCGGGGAACTCGAGACGCAGGTGCACGAGTACGAGAAGGTAGGGATTCGCTGTGCATTTCCATGACCCGGTCCCCCTTCGTTCCACCTGCTTGCTTCTTGTGGTTATAGCTTGACACTTTTCAAGTACAACGTTTGCACAAACAAAGCTAAATGCCCAAGCAATTTCATACAGTCAAGTAATTACTCGCATTTCCATGTATCCTTAGAGGGCTATAAAGGGCATTTTAAGGGAAATCACGTTGGCACCGATGAAACATTCACCGAAGGCTGGAAAGTGTAGGGCCAAAGTCAGAGTAGAGAGGTGTTCGATCGATCTAATACGCATCGAGGACGAGCGTGATAGCAGCAAGGGTTCGAGTCGGTCTCCAACCGGGACACAGACGGAAACGTGGACGTGCGCGAATGGGCCTAGTACGCGAGCAGCGGGTAACCGTTCGGCTTCGTATTGAACACGTGCGAGAAACGAGAAGGACGCTTGGAATGGATTGAAATCGACAGGACGGTGAGCTTGGAAGACAGAGACGGTCACTCCAGGTAGTTCTGAGCGTTTGCTTCGAATCTGTGCTCGAGATGAGAGACAGTGCGAGAGAGGCAATGGAGAGTTTTCACTGCAACTTTTCCCAACATTTTTATTCATTTAAACTATTTAATGTCACTCTCGGATTGACCTTTTTTAAAATGCAGCCTTTGCAGCCAGTTTATCAATTTCACCATTTCGTCCGCAGTTGCCATAGCAACCGATCGTTCTCCATTCGATGCGCACGTGCGGCCTACGGCATGTGTCTGCGTCGGCAACCGATTCGAGTCTCCAGTTCCTTTCCGGCTGTCGTAGCTGACGGACTCATAGTTGCGAAACGGAGAGAGCAGCTGCAGTCGACAACCTGTTGCCGGCCGAACTCATGAAATTTCGCATCTGGCATGCTACGCGTTCTACTCCCACACCGTCTCAACCAATATACAACTCAAATATCTACCGTTGCATTATGAATTCGAGAAATGATGTTCCGTGCCGGTGAATGTTTCGACCGTCCGTGACACTTTGCATGCATCTCGTTTTTTTCCTTCTCTTTTTTTTTTCTTTATTTCCTCTCCGTCACCTTGCATAGCAACCTATTGTGCATGTGATGGGCCCCGATGTTGCTTCGTCTTGGAAACCGTCGAACCCTCACCGATGATATCTTGAAGTAGTGTCTATGGTGGCAAGTTTTCGAGTGGCCAGTGGAATGGCCGATCTGTGACCGGGCCCTCGTCGTGAAAAGTTTTAGTTTTAAATGGGGATCACGAACAGTCGTGAAAGCAAAGTGGAAGCTGAACGACGGGACAGGCACGTGCTCGAAGGGCAGGTGACAGTAACTGAACGACGGGACAGGCACGTGCTCGAAGGGCAGGTGACAGTAACTGCATGGACGGGGAACGGAGCAGAGACTGATCGAAGCCACGATGAAGATCCCGCTTGTGCGCTCGCACCGGGTTCGGGAGGCGATGAGAGGCCGAGACTCGCTCTTCGTGGAGGTGTCAACGCTGGTTTGGCTTCTCCTTTTTCTGGAGAAGAGCTCGCTCGGTCTGATGCAATGTGCAGGTGTATTCCGTTATGTGTCGTGCACCTTGGGATCGATTTGAACCGGTCACGCGTAAGATGTCCCGAATCGTGTTGTATTTATCCTCAAGTAAAAATAAAGTTTATGGGATGCGTTCTTCGGTGTAAATCACCTCCGAACACTCGGAAACGTGGTATAGTCGTTTAATGGTGTCGAGAGCTGGCATGATTTCTCTCTACGGGTTGATGTGCTCATCGAAGCTTCGAGAAACTGAAAAGTCTCGAGGGAACGATGCCAAATAGAATGGGACCGAGGGTTGAAGAAGACTGCAGGTTTAGGTGGACCATGGAAAGTCTTACGCCTACCCACGTGATGTAATGGTGATATTTCTTTGCCAACTTGATTCCAAGAAAGGGTGATGTGGAACACGAAACAGGTTTTACTGTCGTTTCTGGTTGTGAGGGGCAGAATTGAAGGAGACAGAGACCGGAAACTCTTTTTTCTTTCGCTCCTTTTTTTTCCGTCAAGAGGGAGAATTCGGGTGAAGGAGAGTTGACTTTTTTATGTGATGTCAATTTGCCATTATTGGATCCTTCAAAACTACATTCATCTACCTATTAATATTGCCCTTGTTAAATACGAATTAATAGCGTGCACACGATTATAAGGAGGGGGAGGTGGGTAAATCAATATTGAAGTTCAATGAACACGGGCCGCGAGGAGGGGCTAGAATCCTGGAGACTCTGGGATGAGCCAAGTTCAGAATCGGAGCGCCGGTACAATATTGACCGTAAACGAGGACAGAATATTGAGGATTTTTGATCGGCTTCACCCGTGCCCGTGCAGGCCCTGGAGGAGATGGGGATCCACCTGCAGGAGAGCAAGTTGAAGGTGGAGGATCTCCGCGAGGCGTCGCAGGCGTTTCGCTCCGCCCAGTGGGCCTCCGACAAGGACGCCACCCACTGCCGCTCGTGCGAAAAGGAGTTCAATCTCGCGCGGCGAAAGGTATTAATATTCACGATTGTCTTTTTGATTCGGGGTCGTGTTACTTAGGGGATGAGGGATTTTTTTGCTATTGCTTGAAGTGAGATATTCGTTGCTGGTTTTTCCCCTGAAGAAAAAGTACACAAACAATCGGACGTGTTAAGACCGTGAATAACTTTCATCAGCAAATTTTTGGAAGTTTATGTATAAGTGACTGAAAAATAATCCCTGGTGCCGCATGTGGGATTTCCTGTTATGTCGCTGCAGACTCAAATGAAGAATTAATTACAAAGAGATTGAAGAGATTGCCTCCAAGAGTCGCACGCCTGGTATCTTCACGTTAACAGTCGGGAAAACCGACCGCTCACCCGCCCGTATCACCTTCTGTTGCCAGCACCACTGCCGCTTCTGCGGGGAGATCTTCTGCAAGGCGTGTTCGGACAACACGATGCCGCTGCCGTCCTCGGCCAAACCGGTGCGGGTGTGCGACTCGTGCCACGCGCTGCTGCTGCAGCGGTTCTCGGCGCCGTCCACTCGATGATGCCATTTCGACGCACTTTTTAAATATATATGCCTGGTTCTTTAATATGGGAGTTTCGTACACCTTGATATCATTCCTTTCAATAAAATTGGAATATTTTCATGAATTCCGGGATCTCGTACGGGTCGTGGTGTAACGTGATGCGATGTGCCTTTTTGGTCTTTACCTGATGGATTTCATGGCACAGTCGACACCGAAGATCTTTCATTTCCTCATATTTTCCATATCGTATTCCTTCCGTTTCCGCGTTTTGATATCCTATTGGACCGTGCAAAATGTTGCTTTTTTTTGCATCCCAAGAGGCGAACTGACTTCTCTGGGAGCAGTCTACCTGTCCTTGATTCTGTTATAGTCGGCCTAGAAATAGTGGCTGTTAAGTCCTGTGGGGATTCGCGGTGCCGTAGCGACCAAAGAACACGGAGTTGCCTCGCCAACCTTCTAGAATGCACGGATGGGAAAGGCCTTTTCACCAAAAATGTCGGTAGGTGACGCCAATAGATGGTCGTCGTTGTCCACACGACGTGCCAGGAAGTCAAGGAAGAAACGAAGGCGGGGGTCAGTGGGAAGGCCTGTCTCCCAAGACAAAAATTCAGGAATGGCACTCCAGTCTGCGAAATTCGACCCGAGTCGCCGAAAGAATCCCGTAGGAATGCATTTCACACCGTGAACGTCACACTTTGAAACTCCCCCATCATGCAGTTTGTCATCGTCGCTGGCTCCACTTCAGAGATGGAGCAACGCGATGCTATCGATTGCGTCAAAAAGTCCGACAGGCGATGCGAGGGTCTCCTTTAATGAGCTCCTCTGTCCAAACAAAGTTGATAGCAGTAAGAAAGGAAATTTGGAATTGTTGGCGTTTGGAAAACCATTACAGTATGGTTTGACGGTCCAACGAAGCCTAAGAC